ACAATCTAATAAACAAATAGAGTTTTTGTTTTCTCAAGAACAAAGAAAACGAAGAAAAACTTTCATATGTTTAGGTTTTATTAAAATTTTAATCATTGCTTTTTAAAACAATAATCATTGCTGAAGAATAAAAAGGTAGTTAAAATAATAACGGTGTCAAGGAAAAAAACGTGATTTTGTCACTCCATTTGTTTGTGGGCGCGAAGGTCCAAGATGGCCGTTTTATTTTTCAACACTTAGTGCGTTTTCTTTTAATCATTACACAAGCCCAATATACACCCAAGCCAAATACATCGACACATGCTTGGAATGGGTGTTGTCATAAAATAAACAACTCAACCATGACCGTTAACCCCCTAACCACCATATACTTCAACGGAGTTGTTTAAAAAAATTCGGTTGAAATTTTGTCCGACCGACACAGAAAGTATAACACAGTGTCGTATTTCTATACCATAGGCCAATTGATCCATATCCTAGTGGTAGCATACGAAGAGCTCCTGAAAAGTTATCGGTTCAACGACGAAACCTTTTGAAATATCTGATGTTTGTCTATATTTCTCCTGGTGGGGTGGAGGAGTAGATCAAAACGAGGACTTTCAAAACATCCTAGTAATTATTAATGAACGGTCATTGTATAGCCCGCAGCAAATTTTACGCCCCATCATGCTTCTGTTCTGTAAAAAATTATTTTTTCACTCTGAGTAAATTTAGGTTCTACATTGTTTGGGGAAAAAGATTAAGGTAATAAAATAATTTACTGAAACCTGAACCTTGCCAGCTTGCATGCAAAACTCCCTGACCAAGTAGTGAAATGGTGGGGGTCGATTGAAAGGAAAGTAAAGGGAAAGAAAAACAGAAAAGTTTTTTTCTACTACAATAAATTGTTCTGATAAACGTCATTTTTAACCAATAACTACTCGAGCTGGTTGAAATCTGACATCCCCGTGTTGACCGCCAAAATTTTTCGGGTAAATCCGAGCCAACCTTTGGTTATAAAATACTACAATCGTGTGAAGGTAGGAGAAACAGCACAGATGAGTGGGAGACGCGATGCCTTCTAAAAAGATCTGAAAACCTGACCTAGCGGACGCGAAAACCCACTCTTCAATGAAGTCTTGACAACCAAATTGTCGTTTTCCTGACAGAATTAAGTATTATTTTCTCTCCGATGATTGTAACAAAACAGTCGTTTTCACGACATAGAACAAGTACTCCTCTCAAAACAACGCTCTACGTTGAAGACTCTGAACTCTGAAGGCACGAGCGGATTCTGTCACAAACTTCGACAAATCACATGAAATTAGAAGAAGTCTTAAGAACATCCGCATTTTATACCCTTTTTTAATGGGTTCGAACTTATTGAAACCTTTTTACTTTACCTTCTTATAATTTACATTGTTTTGTATACGCTGACATTTTTCCTGTGTTATTTCATGTTATTTCATTGACCTTGATTGTAAACTTGATCTTTTTCCACAACTACCATTGAGCTTTATTTTAGAAAAAATAAATTACTTGTCCAGGAATGTATTACCCCCTTTCTCCTGTGCACAAATCACTAAATTTGTGCACCCCTAATATTTAGTAAAATTTGCTTTCATTTTGTTATAAAATAAAATAAGACATATTTCGGCTGATTTGCAGGCAAATAAACTAACATACTCAAGAGCGAGAGTCGGATGTGAACGGGACAAGGCCCCGTCACAAAATGACCATTATCGTCGTTTACGCATAGGCCCGACGCACGAGTTCCGGTTGAAAAATAAAATAATATTTTAAAGTGTTTCTATTTTTCGACCAATAAAAATGCTTCCCTTCTACTTATACTCGCGTCGTTTTTCGAGCCTGTTAATCCATAAAAAACGCCATAAAAGGGGTCACACGAGGAAGTACAACAGCAGTCAACAGGAGGCCAGGGAAGAGACCTGTCACGGTCAGACAGCAGCAGTCAGCAGGAGGAGCGCCATGCCAACCAGTGAGAACTACTATGAGAGATCAACCCAGATCGGAAGCCGGCTTATGAACTATACCACAGGGTAGCTGTCCCAAAAGCACACGTTCCTATTGAAATAAATCACGTAAATTTATTTCTGCTGTTGTCGTATTTCTTTCTTGCAACCATACGCTTGTCTATAACAATTTTATTTCAATAAAAATGTTTTCGTTTTATATTTCACTAAGCATCTCGTCATTTTTTACGGTGCGCCTTGTTGTCGTTTGGTCTCCATTCTTCCCAATTTTTTTTTTTTTTTTTTTTTTTTTTACTATTTTTCAGAGTTCGGCAAAATTGCGCCCTTTACTCCCCTTCTTATTACGACTCTGGTTATAGTGCAAGGGAAATATCTTTTATAAAAACAAATTATTTTTATTACTGTTAGTCTTTGGTGTAATAATAAATGTTTAATCGTCTAAGTTGTTTTTTGTTTTTTTGTACACGTTCGTTTGAGAGAAGTGAAGGTCGCCAGACAGTTTGTGTAAAAAATTGTTACCCATGTACATCTTTCAGGCTCAGCGGTTAAAACCCGCCAAAATTGTTAAGGATCCATTTCAAGTTTATGGCGAATTATGTTTTTTATATTTTAGCCAATGAGAGACGTGGTCTCGAGGTCTTGTGAAAACTTGGATGGGGCCTTCTGCAAGACCCACCCCACACTCTAGAACTCAAGACATTACATAAAGGCTGAAGGTTTTTGATATCAAGAAGAGAACTAAAAAGCATTTGAAAACATCTAGATATTCAAGCGAGAAAGTACAGAGTTACAGCTACAGAGAGTCCCAAATAATTTTGAAGTTCACAAGTGGAAATTCTCCAGCGGTTGGATAAGAGAGAACGATGAAAGAATTCAAAGAAAATTTCCCAAAAGCCTGAGTGAAGCACAAATAGTGAAAAAAATAAAGAAGAAGAAGAAGAAGAAGAAGAAGAAGAAGAAGGCCATTTCTAAAATTGTTATGTCCCAGAGACGCTCATGGGAAAAGTAAAAGTAGCTTTTTTCGTTATTTTTTAAAATGTGGTTGCACCTTTTTTTCTACCTTCTTGAATTGCTTTCTCTTTTTGTCATTTTTGAAATCGTAATTTTTTTCCATTTTCGATGGTAATCCTTTGTTTGCAATATATCTGTAAATATTACCCTGCCTTAATTTACTTATAAGGTGCGCAAAAATAAGTTTTTGTGAAAGAGTCTTCTTATATATAAATTTTTGTACTTTTCCCCTTTTCTGTATACTGTAATAAATATTTGTCCTTTAAATTTTCTATACTCCGTCGTAATTAGATCTCATTCTGATTTCATTCTTCACGCTGGCCGGATGTGATCGCCAAAAGATGAAATAACAAAAGTCGTGTTCTGCGCATTGGGCTCCACGCACCACGTCCAGTCTACAAAGTTAACTCCGGCTGTGGCCAATCGGGAACTTTCCGCCGGTAAAAGAGATGCCACTTGAGACTACCAAACCTGCTTACAAGCAGGCTCTGAGAACGACCTTCACAGTCGCGGCCGTCACACAGGGCACTGCTGCTGCTACAGCCGCCATGACCTCGTCTATGACAATAGAGTTACGGACCGGCCACCAAGTAAAGCACTACTACCACCACCATCGCCGCCACCACTCAACATGACCGTACATCTCAACGACCGTTACCCCTTCCTGGCTGGACATACCACCTCAGCTGCCCAACACCCACCGTCACCTCGGCTACCTCGACTCGTTTAAAAGGCATTCCTTTCGCAGTCGACCCCAGTGACCTCCGCTTCACAGAGCAGCTCCGTCTCGAATTGTTTACAAGGCATTCCCTTCACGGTCGACGCAACGAACTCCGTTCCATAGAACTAGACTCCAATCACCTGCTGTCACCTCGGCCTACCTTAACTCGTTTACAAGGCATTCCGTTGGCAGTCAACTCCACCGAAATCCACTCCACAGAACAGGTCTATCTCAACTCGTTTTCAAGGCATTCCCTTCACAGTCGACACCAGCGGTCTCCGTTCCACAGAACAGGATTACCAAGACAAGACCACGCCAATCCTACGTCACCCTGTTTCAACACAACAGGTCGACCAACCGACAAGAGGACTCACGACCGTGACCTCTATCAACCAAACGTGCACAGACCGTATTCTGCGACTTCGAAATGGTTCAATTCCCGACACTACGCGTACACCCGACCATTTTCCTCCTGTATCTACCAACAATAAACATTCTTTCACTCTAATGCTCGTTATTCCTTTCTCTCGCCACCATACGCTTAATAACAAAATTTTACGCAGTGGTTTGAGTCTTGATTGAGCCTTATACAACTTTCTAATCCATATTTTGTGTTTGGTACACGAATTAGGGGAGTTAAAACTTTTCATACTTTACACAAAAGTTATTAAGTACACCTACACTAGTATATGCAGAAGCATATGTAAGCTTAATTTTAAATGATTTCTGAATTATGTAGTGCAGGGCCGGCGTGTACTACAACACCCCCCTCCCACCCGAACCCTCTGATCGGCGGTGTGATTGGGGTCACCGGTCAGTGCTTTATGACCTTCGCTATCTTAATATTTGCTTTTTCTACCTACATTCGTTACAAATTAAACTAAGCCCAACCAACTATTAAAGGATGAAAAATTTTGTTTTTGAGTCTCGAAAAAAAAACAACAAAAAAACACTAGTTAGTTAATAAAATTCACTATTTTTTAAAAAATAAATCGATAGTGTTGAATGAATGCATTAGTAATTAGTTGAATTATTAAACTTTTTAACAAGAAAAATCACAATTTGACGATTAAAAATTTCCGTAAAAACATTATTTAAGAAGAAGAATATCTCTATGACATGTCTCTAATTTTTAGATACATTGTATTGTATTTTCAATTTTTCTAGTTGAATCGTTCATCTATCCATTAGGTTCCAATAAAATTTGTATTTTTTTACTTAGTGAGGGGGCGTATCATAGATTCGGCGTGGTGGGGTCACAAAACCCTTGCATCGGCCTTGATGTTGTGAGAAAAATGCTTCCAAAATTGAAGGCCAAACTTTCGAATAAAACAAAAACATTGTAAATAAAATTAAAAATAAATAAAAAACTAATCAAAATGTTTTCAGGACATGATGCGAGTTATCTGCCCTTGAAAAAAGCGATTCTCCTTGACTCAATGATAGAATTATTTTAGTCATCGTAATCATGGCTGGTTAGTTGGTACAACAGACCACACACAACAAAGATACGCGCCTGAATCTCAGGTAAATTGCATCATTAGCTTTTATCTCTTTGTCTTCTCGGCGGTCAACCTGTCATTGTATTTCATGAGATGTTTACTTTAGAAAAGATAACTTATTTTTTTCGTAGATTTTATTTCTACAAAATTCCCTTTCCTTTTTTTTTTTAAACATCATTCATTGGCGAATTGAAATTGTACAATTAATAATTGTTTTGTTTGAAACTGTGAAATAATAAATAGTTTCAATATTATTGATATGCTATTTTGTCTCATCAAAATATCTGACATTTTATTGGTTCTTAAAAAAGATAATTATTTTTATTTTAAATCTGTATATTTTTTTTATAAAAAGTCAACATAAGTCATGTCGTGATGAAAACAAGAAAGAAATAGAAACTGGTGCCCTTTTTAGAATTTAAATCAAAAAGAAAAAAAAAATAACGTGACCGATCAGAATGGTGATGGTTTTTAATTTTATGTTTATTTTTATGATGTATTTTTAAATTTTTATTTTTACAGTTGAAGTAGAAAATTGTACAATAAAACATGAATTGAAAATTAAAATTATTTATAAAAAAAAAAATAAATGTCATCACTTGCATTTTTAAATTGAAAAATATAACTTTTTTGAGTTTTTTTTGTCACAATCTTCTGAAGTGGGGTTTTTTTAACAGCTGGAGAGGTTCTGGATAATGATCGTACTTAACTTTTTTTAGTTAAAAAATAATTAAAAAAAAACGTGAAAACTTTGCCAAATACCTGATTTTTAATTCAGGTTTTTACTTTTTAAAAAACAGTAATTCAATCACTCAGTATATTTATATTTCTAAAAACTCTAAAAAATTAGTATTTTTAACGTTTTTTGAATAATAAACTTTTTTACGGTAAAAAAAAGGTGTCTGTCCCAGAACACAATTTTTTTTTTTTTTGGTAACATTTCATTAAACGGCGATGAATTCAATGTCAGCTTTTTAACAGAACAATTTACAACGAATTGATTGCATAATTTGAGAAGATTTATTTTAAAACTAACTTAACTAGAAAAATCGACGAATAGGATTATTTTTATTCAAGTTAAATATTCGCACTTTTATTTGTTTTATTTTACTTTTTCTTTTTCCTGTAATTTTTTTCTCTTGTAAGAAGGAATCTCCAATAATGAAAAAAAATATAAATGAAAAATAATTTAAAAGACTGATGTCATTTGTTTTAAGTGCTTTATTTGATGGTATATTCAAATTAAATAAAAATCCAGTCTCTTTCAAACTAAATGAAAAGAAACTTATTTTGAACTGGACCAAGTTATATTTAACAACTTACTTTAACAGTTAACTATAATTTAGTTAACATTTTAAAAAATACCCTGATGAAATTAAATAAAAAAGTGCCTTACCTGTGATGTGAGCCTAAAATTAAATTTAAATATCATCACAGTAATTTTGCTACCGATTGAAACTAAAAAGTAAGTAATAATTAGCACTGTGTGTGTTTTTTATTATTATTATTATTTATTTTATTGTTTTAATTTTTTAAGCAGTGTAGACTGATTTCTTGGCCGTAGGTATTTGTTTTTTGGTGAAGAAACTTGCTTTGATGAAAAAGATCGAATTATTTACAAGGATGGATTATCTGATGAATGTATTATTATTGTACACAACGTGTTGATAATAAATATGGAATTAAGAAGTTTTTCCTCTGCTTTTTAGCAGAAAAATAGGTTTGAAAAAGAATCGTATATTTTTTTGCATTTTGCTTGAATGAAATCGCGGCCACATGTGCTGTGTATCAGCAAACAAACACCTCCCCCACAAAAAGAAAACTTTTTATTAACTAGTAATTAATTAACTTTGATAACATTAAAAAATAAAAACAAACTTCAGTCAGAAAAATCTTAATGAATGCCGATATAAATGGAACAGATTACGACCTGCAGGACCTAGGCGCTCATGACTCTCCACAGCTTCCTTTTTAAAAATGTGTGAATTGCCATAAATAGTGGAGGTGGTTTTCCATTGAATTCTCTGTTTCTCAATTCACTTATCCTGTAGGTACCTCCATTAGGTCACGTAAAAAAAGCAGCATATCACGATGAAAAAAGATCCATAAATCAACGAAAACAAAGTTTTGTCTCAATATGTTTATGTTGTTATGACGAGGAAAGACCAAAGTATTTTTTAAATATTTTTTGAAATTTTTTACGACAGCGCAGTAAGAGAAAAAAAAAGGTTTGTTTTATTTTGCGCTTTTCCCGAGGAAAACACACGTTAATTTAGGAAATTCTTGCAAAAATCAAATAATTGTCGGATTTTAATGAAACTTTCAGGACTTATTCAGAAATGAATGAAATTATTTAAAAAATTTTTTTTTTTTTAGAAAATCTTGTTAAAAAGAGATTTTTTTTTTAACATGTTTCCACCCACATACATATTTTCACGAAATTTCGAGAAACTAAATCGTTAAGCACGGGATTTATTTTAACAGGACTCTTTATAGAAAGTAAATCACCAGTTTTTTTTGTAAAACAGTTCCTCATTTCATAGAAAATCTGCTCTGCTGAATTATAAAAAAATGTAAAAAAAAGTATGACATTATTAAAGCTTTCACCTGTTTTTATAAATACGTTAAGGACATTATTTTGTGAAGAAATAAAATTTTTTCGATGAATAATGTATTTTTTGCAAATTTTTTCCCATTTTTTAAATTTTTTTTTCATTAACTTCTTAAATACTTCAAAAATCGTTTAAAATTCTTTATTGATTTTAAACACGTAATATAATGATAACGTTAATGAAAAAGTAAATTTACGAATCGAAATTTGAAAAGCACATAACAGTTGTTTGTACAGCAATATTTTTAAAATAATTTTGAAAAAAAATTTTTATTGAAAAAAACGTTCAAAATTTCTACGTATGGAAATGTATACATGACATAATCCTTAAAATATTTTAAACAATTATCTAATTAATAAAAAACTTTAAACAATTATCTAATTAAGAAAGTATGAAATAAAAAATAGATATTACATAATTGCTGAATAAAAATGTTAATATTTAAAAAGTACAAGTACTTTTGAAACATCACCGAAGTTAAGCAACGTCAAGTCTAAGATGGGTGACGGCTTACCGGTGAACTTTGGATGTGTGGGGTGGTGTAATAAATGGATAATGGCTCGGGATTAGAAATTGGAGACCCGAGTTCTAATTCCAGTTGGGTTCATTATTTACTTATGCGCAAATACCCTTTAGGGAAGATATGAATCCATCTCTTCTCCCCTCAGCTATGGGTTAATTAGTATAACGTATCAGTAAAAAATTTTATTATCTCTCCATATTCTTAAAAATATTTTCTGGCTTTAAATAACATGCAAAAGGTCGATAAGCCATAAAAAACAAAAAAACAAATCAATTTAGTATGATTGCCCCCACAAAAGCTAAAAATATAGCAGTCAACCTTATTATTTTACCCATAGTTGTTGGGATGAAAAATTTGTCTTTTTCCATTGGTATTGGTACAAATGAATATATTATTGGCTGGAATTTGAACTTTTCTTAGTGATTTCATAATCTTTAATTAACTGACCCTTATATCATCCAAACATCTTTGTTATTCATAAATTATTTATTGAGAAAAATATTGAGGAATTTAAAATCTAAAATCTGTCACTTTCTAGAAGTATTTATAATACCTGATTTTTGAGTTTATAAATGATTAGTGACTTTGTTTACTTATTGTTCAGCATTCCAAACTTCTAATAAATCCTCCATGACACTTAATACTGTAGTCACCCTTTTAACAATGCCTGAATGTGCAGGTATGGTTTCAAGGCTGTATTGTCACTATTAAACCCAGAATAACTCAATAACTAACCTTATCATTAGGTTTTTATTTGATAGGAATGTATTCTTGTGTGACTATTACAACTGAAACAGGTGTCACTTTTGCCTTGTTCTTTTTTTCTTTCTTTCCTTCCTTCAAAGGTCAAATGAGTATCAAGTTAGTTTTTCTTTACTCATGTAATGTAAGCAAGCTTAAATTTATGAGCATCTAGGATAGTTGAAATATGGATGATCATGAATAACAAAACCTGATATTAATCTCAACATTATGAGAAGGTGCTGGAAAATTTTTGCCCTGACCTTGAAAGAATTTTTAAAAAAATGTATTTTTAGAAAGTGGCTAGAGCTGAGAACTTTTCAGCATCCTCCTATATTCCCATTTTGTCATGTGTGCAACAAAAGAAATAAGAAAAAGGGAAGGAAATTAAACAGGAAAACCAACTAGGTGTTATAGTAAACAAAAAGGTTTTATTTTAATTTTAGTGATTTGTTCAGTGACTAAAAAGGAAAAAATCCATAAAAGGCTTACTGGCAAGAAGTTAGAAATACTTCAAAATAATTTCAATCAGGAGTTGCTGGGTTTTGTGGTATAGTTTACATGTCATGTCAGTAAAGGGTAGTAAACGGGCAGCACTAAAGCAGGTTTTGGCAACAACTGACTTAGCCAAGGGACTAGTTTAATTTTGGCACCAACAAACAAATGCGAACACCTGGATGAAAGACCTCCACTTGTAAGTTTATCTGACCACATGAAATGACCTAGAATTTTTATTCACACAAACAGATTCTCTTAACACATTTAAATGTATTGAAGGGTAATATAAGCTCTGTAAAAATTTTATTCCAATAAAAATCTAAACAAAAGTTTTTATATGCATTTACTAATTGTTTCTAATAAGAATGGTTCACTGTGTCATGCCAGAGAGTTTTTCTTGAGAGAATCCATCTTGTACATTGACAAATCTACTATTTGTCTATACATTCAATATTTGCTGCCATACAAATCTACTATTTGTTTATACATTCAATATTTGCTGCCATACAAATCTACTATTTGTCTATACATTCGATATTTGCTGCCATACAAATCTACTATTTGTCTATACATTCGATATTTGCTGCCATACAAATCTACTATTTGTCTATACATTCGATATTTGCTGCCATATCTGATTTGGCGCTTATACTATATAAATCTCAAGATATACTTACCTGGCACAGGCTGGGTAGGGCTTATTATCTCTCAGTTGTGTCTCTGCCTTCGGGCAGAGTGCGGCTCACTTGTCTCTCTGTACACAGACAGAGATGCCCAGTCCTGGGGGACAGCTGCCCATGGCTGTATCCCCTCCTATTACACTAGAGGGTGAGGATCAATAGTCATAGACAGTTGCTGGATCTGGGCAGTTTTTACCCGTGGCTCACACATATACAGTTGGGTTCCTTACACTAAACCAGACCTTGTTCTATTCTAACAGTTTCTTTTCTTATACTTCTGGTTTCTTGCTTCCAAGTGCCACATGTGATACATGTTTGGGTGATCATGTATCAAAAGATACATGACTGATGAGGCAGAAAATTTTTCCCACAGTAGGTTGTCATTTCTTTCTGCAGTTGCCAACCAAGGCTAAAGAACCCAGTCTGTTCTACTATTCAACCCATGGCTGGGAGGAGAAGAGATGGATTCATACCTTTCCCAAGGGTATTTTTACGTAAGTGAATATAAGGAACTCGACTGGAATTCGAACTTGGCTCTCCGGGTTCACATTCTGAGCTGATATCCATTACATCACAACACACATCCATCCCCCAATCTTCAAAAATTTAAATGTAAAGTCAAATCACCATCTTTTGTTTTCCTGAATCCTGTTCTTTTATTGTCCTTTCTTCTCACTAAAGTCTTCTCATTATTTTCCACTTGCATGGATTTTTATTTATAAAACTCTAAAAAGAATCACCCCGCTGCAATTAAAATGTATATATTGTGCCTTTAAATTCCTTGAGGAACATAGAGTTGCAAGATTTTGTTGCGGTTTCTGTAACAAGACAGTTTTTTAAGTGTGTAGGTTGTTAGTCTACTGCACAACCCCCAACCAGGAGGATTAGGTTTTGAATTCAGAGTTGTCCTTCTAGACCAGTTGCCACCCAAGGCTATAGAACTCAGTCTGTCCTGCTATTTACCCATAGCTGGGGGGAGAAGAAGAAGAAGAAGAAGATTTATACCTTTCCCAAGGGTATTAGCACGTAAATGAATATAACTGATTTGACTGGAATTCGAACTCAGCTCTCCTATTCCTCAATCTGAGCCACTATCCATTATTCCACTGTGCTGCCTCAAAAATTGAAAAGTATACACAGGATATTGAAAGTGGATGAGTCAATACCACCCCTACATGTTTCATCAAACCTTTCTAATAAAATAACTTATTCAGTATACAGTTCATTCATTAATGGATAAATATTGAACATTTTGCTTGAATCAAGTAATTCTCTGATTTTTGGCAAATTTTTTAAAACAGAGATGGGAGAGTAGCAATTTTTTGCTTTCATTTCGGTAAAAACACATCCATTTTGGCAGTACCAACTATAAGCAATTTAAGCCAAGTATTCAGCTGTCAAGTTTGTTATCTATGCATTGTGAGATGTGTATAAAAGTTTCTATTATTTTCTTTACTTAAAAACTGCTTTCCTTTTGTGTAATCAGACTCTAATTTTCACAAAAGAGAGTGCTGTCAACATTTGCAGACATCTTATAAAATAACCTTAGTGTGGGTCAGAACTGTTTTGTTGCCTTATAGTATATTCTAAGCTCTTGACATTTGTTAATCCTCCTTGTCTTGGGTTCCATGAATGTTGACTTGGATCTATAATAATATTATTAATATATTTTTATATTTAAATAATATTGCACATGCTTAAAATTCAATGTCATATCGCATCCTATTTATATAGAATTTATATTATAATTATTTTCAAATAAAGGTAAATTACTGTGTAATAATACTCTAACTGCAGTTAAAATTTTAAGTTAGCTATACTTGTATTTCTATTAATCCCTAATCAGCAGGAATCTAGTGTGAAATGATTTTCAAACATACATACTTATAGTTTAAAAAAACATTTATTTTATTTTTTTTACTAAAATATAGAAATATTGAAATGTTCAAGATGGAAAATAAAAATAAATGATTAATAATATTTTGTATAATATAATACTACCTGGGAAATCTTTTTTTAATTTTCTAAAAATTGCCTGTAATATTTATTTTTACAAAATTAAGGTATCAATATTTCATGGTGCAATTAGTAAACTTTTTATTTCTATTTGTCTTTTAATGTTGATGGGATTTTCTTTTCAGCTTTTGTACGAAACATACAAAAATAGAATCATTATTATTGAGGTGAGAATGAATACAGTCCCTAGTACTTAAGTTGAAGATTGTATAGGAAATTGCTTTATTTTTCCAGTTAGAGAATTTTAGTGGTATTGCCCTAGCAAAAATCTTGTTACAATGTTCTGTTTTTGCTGTCATGGTAACAAATACATTCATGAAAAGAAGCTGCCTGCCCACCTGAGACCCTTGACAGAGATCAAACTACCCTCTTACCTTAGATTCTTGACATAGAGCAAGTTGCCTACTCACCTGATACTCTTGATGGAGGCCAAGCTGTCTGCTTACCTGAACCCATTTGCAGAGACCAAACTATCAACCACTAAAACCCTTCGTTAAAATAAAATTAAAATAATTAAAATAATTAAGGTTTATAAATTTTAATTATAAACTTTGAGGATTGGAAAATTTTCTCATGTGGTGAAATTTTTTATTTCTTTTTTTGCAGGTATGCCCAAAAAATCCACCCTGCATGTTGAGATCAAGTCTCGCTTTGCGTTATGCTGGGGACATCTAGTAAGTGTGTCTTGCGAGCTGCTCAGTTTTCGGTCCAGAGATGTTATCAGGTGACTCATCGACCAGGGAGGCTGTTAATCCCTTGGGGACAGATTGGCTATCAGTGGACAAAGATCCGGTGGTCAGGAAGCCAAGTGAAAAATGGAAAAACCATTCCAAAACAAAATTCTTTATTTAGACGTACGATGGTTCTGGCCGCTGCTACAAGTTTGTTTGGTGCCTCTGTATATCATTTTGTTCTTGAAAAACATGAAAAGAGGAAGGTTAGGGTGGCAGCTGGTGCTGTGACACGCTTCTGCAGGTAAGATTTTGAAATATTTTAAGTATTATGATTTATGTGAATAATGTCTATTTACATTGTATATATTTATTGTCATATTCACAACATTTCGGCCGTTGTACGCTCTAATCTTCAAGTGAAATATGTTAGAATTTTGAACCGAAACCTTTATTTAGTTCACGAGTGTAGATTGTTCTTATTCCATGTGTCATTTTTTTTTTTTTTTTTTTTCACAACTTTTTGGGTCAGTTCATTTTTTGGGGGTTAAGGGGGATTACTCAACCAATACTTTTATCCACAGAGCAGTTAGTGAATTTTGGGGACTTTTAAACCTAATGTCTCAGTAACGTTTATTTTTTTTTTATTTTTTTTTTTACTGGAGTTCATATTACAATTTCTGTTATTGGGGTTTTTCTCTAGTTCTTTGTATTATTGGTTCCCATATTGTATTTATGTCTATTCTTGGCTGGCTTAGGAGATTTTAGTGGCCAAGCATAACTGAAACTGAGATATATGACTAAAAAAAAAAGAATGGCATGGCACATGGAATTAGAACAATCTACACCTGTGGATGAAAAAGGGCTTGGTTCAAAATTTCAATGTATATTACCTGAAGAAGGTTGGAGTGTACAACGGCCGAAACATTGTGAATATGGAAATAAAGATGAGGACAATATTTCTTTGGGTAAGAAAAATTCACAATGGTCTCATGTTAGCCAGTAAGAGACATCAGCTTGTCAGGGTGATAAACCCCAATTTTGATTTAGACATCTAGGATGATAGACTTCATCACAAACATACAGCGGTAGGACAAACAGAGGAACCTATATGGTTCCCACAAGAATATAGTGGACACCATTGGCCTGGCAGTTTTGCCTTTGGTAAATATTACAAGTAAAACCCTTTTGTTTTTAGTCCTTTTACACTGCATGTATTCATATCATTTTTATGGGTGAGACAACTAGTGACAGGTATCTATATATTTGTATATGTGAAAAGTGTGTGTGTATATATATATATATATATATATATATATACGTATGTATATGTGTAATATATATCTTATTGTTTATATATTATATGCGCAGTACTTATTAGAAAGCGCTCAATATCAGAGATAGAACTAACATATTTGGTTGGATTGATGTGAGTTTGTGACCCTGGGTTTCACGCTTTTGCGATCGTCAGACAAACTGATTAATTTTTTAAAATTTAGGATTCATGTAGGTTGCGTGTATTGGTGTTATTATGGATGTGGGAGGGAAATCGTTGTCGTGATGTCACTCATACTAACGCAAACATACATGCATACCCATACAGTACACCCATTGAGGTCCGCAGACACACATACACACGCGTTTGCCCACCAAGACTCACACAAACATAAACATATGTGGACAGTATAGGACTTGACATATGTGTGTTGTTGTTTACAGACATATGCATTTGATTGTTGAATTCCAATGATGGGATGTGTATCCATTTCTCTCTTGAATGTAGCCATGTCAATAATCAGACCATTTCTCTAAAAATTTCTAATTTTATAGCGTTATAAAATATCTTTTTGAAAACAATGCATGTTTGTCATTTCTTTCTGTTATATCTCATGCAAGATATAATAAACAAAGTAAACCCGAGTGTTTTCAATAATAATTTTATAATCGGATGTAGGTATGTCAAAATACGGAGACAAAGTCAGGAGTAAGCTAACCGCAATAGGTGTTAACAAACGAAGACCTTTTTTCTCACTGTCCGCTGTGGTCGTACTTAATCGCAACCAGTCCGTCCATTATCGTGAATGGGGAAGTTGGGTTATCTCATCACAACACTTTCTGTCAGCTATTTTGGTCCATTGTGTTAGTGTTGGTATATCATGAATATGCTAATGTCTATAATGAGGCAACAGGAAATATTCTCCTTCCTAGCATCCTTTTCTTTTAAAAGGCGTATTGCAAAAAAGGAAAATAAATCTTTCATAATGTTTCTCTAAGTCCCGTACAGTTCCGTACATTTTCCGGATTTTGGAAACCATTCAAAGGTGAAAATATTTAATTTACACTAAAAAAAAAAAAAATTAAATAGAGCATAATTTAAAAATAAAAAAAAACAAACAATTTCATATTTTATTTAATTTTATTTTGATTTATTTTCTCAATGTGTATTTTGGGAGATTTAATAATTTTATGCCGAGTCCTCACGTTTTTTTTTCATAAGCTTTCTGCTTAGCTTAGCTTACGAATCACACAAAAAAAAACTAAACAAAATGTCTCAATTCTTTCATTTTTTTTTCTCTTTTCTTTTCACAAGTTTTGTAATTTTCTTTGCTATAAAATGAAGTGCGTATTTTACTTGAAAATACGATTTTTTTCCCCCTGGAAATTCTCTGCTTTTTTCTAATTGCATTTTATACTCCCTAGTGATCTACACAACCAAAGGATTACGATATTTAAAAAAAAAAAAAAAAAATATAGACCAAGGGAGGTAATAGAAGATCTTTGAAAAAAAAAAAAAGACCAAGGGAGGTAATTACAAAATATTTGTATAGTCGGGTTCATGCAACACTATGGTCGTAGAGTTCCTGAAAGATGCCATGTTCGGATAGCACTTTCTATACTATCATCTCAGAGAAATTTTTGAAATACATACATAAATTTTTATTTTTATTTTTGAAACAGTTTTGTACTTTTTTGATTAAAAAGTAATTTTATTCTTTTAATTCTGAAAAGCTTGTCTTTTGATAACAGTCCTGAAATGCGTATACCATTTCCTATCATATATAGTACACTTATAAAAATGCAAAAACAAAAAAGAAATTTCTTTAAATACCACCTAGCTTCAATGCTGATGGTTGGGTTTGGGTACTAGACTAACGTGTATACAAATTCTGTTTTGGCCCTGATGATCCCAGAATTTAGTATATATTTTTATTATCAAAGACTGCATTATGATTACATTTCAAAATAATGGTAAAATATAAAAACATTCCTGTTTGATGCACGAAAAATAATTAAATCATGATATTATGATTACAAATCAAAATAATGAATAATGTTAAAATATTAAAAAACACCTATTTAACTCACTAGTACCTTGATGACCCTAGTAAGAATGAAATATATATATATATATATATATATATAAAAAGTGAACATTGAAGTCAACACTCAGAGGCAACAAGCTGTTTTATGCTAGACACAATTGTCAGGCCTGACGATTGCGTCTACCATGAAACAGCCTGTTGCGTCTGAGTGTTGACTTCAATGTTCACTTTTATATTTATATTTACATATGCTCTATCTCTGATATTGAGCACTTTATCCCATAAATATAGAACACCTTAAAACTATATTTCTTCATCTTTATATATATATATATATATATACACACTTATTGGGGTCATCAAGGTACTAGTGAATTAAATAGGGTTTTTATATATATATATATATATATATATATATATATATATATATATAGGAGGCACGCTGGAGTAATGGATATCAGATCATATTGAGAAATCGGAGAGCCAAGTTCGTATTCCAGTCGAATCCATTACATTCACTTACGTGCTAATACCCTTGGGAAAGGTATGAATCCTCTTCTTCTCCCTCCAGCTATGGGTAAATAGCAGGACAGACTGGGTTCTATAGCCTTGGATGGCAGCTGGTTTAGGAGAAAGACAACTCTGAATTGTTTGGGGACCTTGTGGCACGTAGCAGGTCTCTGTATGCAGCCCTTCAAAAAGTGTGGATGGTTCTGCACAAAACCTTCAGCACCATAACTAAATTTATCTCATGTGATGGTGTCAGGCTGACGGTTCCTAAAAACTGATCTGCTTGACCCTCATACATTGAATCAACGGGAGACTCGTGAAATATATATATTTTCGTTGTGTGTATATATATATATATATATATATATATATATATATATATATATATATATCTCAATGTAATTCTCTTTATTAAAAGTCTTCTAAAAATGAAATATATTTTTTATGAAACTCTATTTGAGGAATATTAACTGATTTAAAGTATAATTAATCTAATTTGAAACAAATATTATTTAAGCCCTTCCATTTATGATTAGTAAATATAATTTTCACTTAATAATAATATTATCTAAAAGGCTGAATTAATACAGAATTTTAAAAGATTTAAAACTTAATAAATTTTTCTAATTAAAATTTAAATAAAATGAAAACAATTCTTGTAAAAATTCATTATTCATCGAAAAAAATTTTTCTTAAGACAATAGTGTCCTTAATATATCTTATTTATAAGAGCAATAAAAACCTTTTCTAATTAAATAATGGCTTAGTTTTATTGTATTTTTTATTTTATGATTCAGAACAAATTTTTGGTAAATGGTGTTTCTGTTTGAAAAAAACAAATTGAAAAGAGTCTAATAAATATGAAAACTCTAGAATTTTAATTTATCAAAATTTTATAAAATTAAGTAAGTTGGGGTAACAGATGTAAAAAAAAAAAAAAAAATAATAAGAATAAAAATTTTTACCAAGATTTTCCAAAAGAAATTTTATTTGATTTTTTGCAAGAATTTCCAAAACACTGTGTTTTTTACCTAAAAAAAGATGCTAAATTTCCTAATACTAATCTACTACTTACTCAGCTACTGACTTAGAAAATCAAGCATTTTTAACCAAAATTTCAAACATTCTAGAAATGATTAAAAAACTTAATAAAATAATCAATACTTTGGTCTTTCCTCTTAATAATAACATAAACATAGTTGATAAGACTTTATTCTTATCAAGTTTGGGGTCTTTTATCATCATGGCATGTTTTCTTTTAGCGAATTAGTGGAGGTATCTATCTATCTCTATATATATATATATATATATATATATAATAAAATATAAAATCATTTTAAAATATAAAGTAAAAACCAGTTGCATTTGTCTTTTATTTACTACTTTATATGGTGGGAAATATAGTATTAAAAAAAAACAAAAAACTTTTATTTAAAATAAAAATTTTGTTTTCTGCTTAAACAATCTATTTCAGGTCAGTAGTGGTAGGTGCTCGCATCTCATTCGATTATACCTGGTCATTGTGGGGTCTGGATCCAGAAAGTGAGGAATATAAGAAAGCTATAACGAGTTGTCATTTACGAGGAGCTGAGCTTCTAAAGAATGGTTGCCTAAAAAATGGGGGTCTCTATGTGAAACTTGGACAAGGGTTGGTCTCCTTGAACCATCTGCTACCCCCAGAATACATCATGATCCTCAGTTCGCTACAAGACCAAGCCTTACACAGGCATTCAGATGAGGTAAGTTTGGAAGTGCTATTTTTAATCGGTTCTCTCTTTCTCTGTGGAAATTTTATCTCTTTTCTAAATGAAAAGATTATCTATGCAATTATGAGATGTAAAATCTTTTAGATGATTAATTTTGAGCTCTTTCTGAATTGTCATTGGCTCAGTTTAATTTTAAATTTTTGACATTTTAAAAAAAAAAAAAAGTAAATATATTGAATAATTTTCAAAGGATATTTGTCATTTCAAATATTATTTTAACTTACTGAACTTGTTTTATTGTTCTTATCATATTTTCCTCAAACCATTCTACAATTTTTGTCTGAATGTCTGGAATGAGAATTTATCATTATTTACACTCAGACTATTGTGTAAAAGACCCAATTGCAGGACAGATCTGAAGAACTTTGGTGTATTCTTTGCTGGCTGCACTGTTATTGTCAGGTTACATTTACTTGTGGAATGCCATACAGGTTCTTGGGGGAATGTCAAGTCAAATGCCAACAAACCTGTTCCTATGATGTTGCAACTAGCCATCAGCTCTCTGCTATGTTGCAAATGGTATTGTGATTACCTGTCGAATTAGATATCTGGTAGGCCCGTGGAAAAATGAAGCCAAATCTGAAGGCTGTTTTGATGATAACAAACAACTATTTATTATTAGGAATTTCTATACAATTCCGTCTTCTTCTTTCTTTTTGTTTATAGCTTGCGCAAATACTAGTCTTGAGGATTTCTTTCCTTTGAGGCATTTTATGATGCAGTCTGTCTAACTGTTGTGGAGTAAAGAGTACACCCCTGGTGACTCTATGAACTCGTCCAATACTATAAGGAGTTCTATGGTATGAGGTTGGGGTGTTAATCGTTTGGAGTCAGTCTTCATACTAACTATACAGGCATATGGCAATAGCCTAAGCATAGATAATACTTTAACGAATTATGTTATACCAAGTATGAGCGGCTGTTATAACAATAACCTTACAATAGGAAGTAATATAATTGGTAATGTAGATACTCAAACACAAATATGGGAAAAAGTTATAATAGTTGACAACAAGGAACTTGAACTTAACCACAGTATAACAAGCACTACATTAAAAATGGAGTTATAATAGTGGGTGACCAGATTTTCAAAACTCATATATGTGTGACAGGATTTACAAGAATTTCAACCATGTTGGTTTAAAAAAAATTTTTTTTGCATTCCTGAGAAAATTTGGCTTCCATAGTTGAAATTCAACAACAAAATGCCTAACAGTTGCTACAATTGTAAAAACAGCAACAAGAGTAAAGGGGTGTGGTTTTTGAAAAAAAAAAAATGCTTCAATGTCTTTTAAGCTAGACATGGTGATAAACACTGTATTAGAATTTGTATATAATCCTGATGACGGACTGACTTTTGCTCAGGTGTCACTTATCTACCCACCCAAAAAATGCAAGGGGACTCAATGAATAAAGAACCCACCCTATAGTAATTTTCCAAGCATAGCTTAGATGTGGCACAAGGCTGAAACTCACTACTCAGTTGTAATTTTTCTAGCGAGACAAGCTTGCTAACCATTACACCGCCTTGAGGTGCCTGAACCCACCCTATATATCAGAAATAGGATTTCTTTTCTTTTCTCACCCTGGTGTTATTTCACCTTCGTTTCCCTTGTTGAATGTACACTAGGCCTTTCCTAGTTTTTGTTCAAACTGACATAAATGGAAATTGAAGCTGTCTAGTTTGTGGTAAACTGAACAAAGAACCAAATTATATGTTCGCAGTGTTGTGATTAGAAATGAACATATAAATCTATTGATGCTTTTGTGGGGTGATGTGGGGTGGGGTATATATAAAGGTGTGGAGAATGGTAGCTCCTTGGCCATAGATTTATTTTTTACTCCATGTGATGTATTTGTACAATTATCATTTATTTTTACCAAAACTCAAAATAGATAAAATAGATACAGAGAATAGTAGACCATAGGTGTAAAAGTCTGAACTGGTAGAACCTGGAAATGTAGTTTTTCTGTAGCTGTAGAACTGTGATACACCAGGAGCATTCTGTCCCTGGGAAAGGGGTTGAAGGTTGGGAAACAATTTTGGCCTTATATAGTTCCTCTGGTTGGGAGACTGGAGCTTTTGAAGAATGTAGAACCACCTTTTAATTGCTGTTGTCCCCAGGTAACATCTGTTAGGATCCCAGCCATGCGAAAATAGTGAACCCCCCAAGCAAAACGCTATGAAAGTATAAAAATACATATTTATAGTAAAAATACCAGCAATACATTATTATGTAAAAAATACAAGCAATACCTATTTATAGTAAAATTACCAACACTACATCAATCAACATGAAAAAACTCTTCCATGACATTAATCCATATAATATCCTACATCAAACTGTATTCCAAAATATAAGTACAACATAAAACACACATTACTGCCTCTACACAAAGATATGTACAAAAGCTGAGTATCATCTACCATGTATTCAATTGTGAAAGCAGAATAACATATATCATGTTTTTATTACTTCAAAACTTCCAAGAAAAATTTTGGCATTAAATGACCCATATAGAGTTGATATGCTGTTAAACAAAGAAGACAAATCTTATAGTTACGCTGCATTCAAGATAAGGAGCAGTCACAGGAGAACGATGATTAGAGATGGAGGGTGTTAGAATTCTTGCTGTCAGTCTGTCGTGAGAGTATACAGAAGAAGCAATGAAAATCCCCAAGTGTCACTTCAATCAGTTAAGTGCCATACATGATACACACTTAGGTGATCATGTCTCTTTTGATTCATAACTGACTAGGCTGAGATTTCTCCGCAGTAGGTTGCCATTTCTTTCTGTGGTAGACTGGTTGCCAAACAGGGCTACAGGACCCAGTCTGTCCTGTTATTTGATTCACAGCTGGGAGGAGAAGAGATAGTCATACCTTTCCCAAGGATATTTGTGTGTAAGTGAATATAACAAACTGCAGTGGAAATTGAACCCAGCTCCATAATTTCTCATACTGAGTCTATATCCATTACACCACAACACGCATCTACTTCTCTGCCCAGCAAAACAGTTGCCAGGCAAATCTATGAATAAAGAATGCAGTATAATGAAAATAGTTGTTTTTATTGGGTCTGGTTCCTATTTCGGCTCTCAATTCTGTAGACTTCTTTTTGGAGTATAGGGCCACAACCACATTATTTAAAGCTGCTGCAATTTCTGTAGCGTGCCACTTTTTATTGGGTCTGGTTCCCATTCTGGGTCTCATGGCTGATGCCCAAGATTGTTTAGATTTATGCTTTCTTAGTCTCACATTTTCAACTGACTTGAAGTAGGACGATTACCTTGAATCAATAGCTGCATCTACCGCAAGGATATTTCATTCTGGGTCTCCTTCCTGTAGACTCCTGCCTTACAGTTTACTTATATCTAGGGAGAAGTAGATTCATGCCTTTTTCAAATGCATTTGTGTGAAGTGAGCATAAACTATTCTGCTTGATAATTTATTCCTTTACGTAAAAGGAATAAAACATTTTTAAAATTGAAAAAAAAAAAAATTTTTTTTCCAGGTTGAACAGTTGTTTCTGGAAGATTTTCAGCAGAGTCCTTATACAATGTTCAAATCCTTTGAAAGGATGCCAATTGCTGCTGCTAGCTTGGCTCAAGTCCACCGAGCCGTGACTTATTCAGGCAAAGAAGTTGCAGTTAAGGTAATACAATTCAGTTACAAATCAAGTAACGGTGAAGTTTTTTTTTTGTTCTTTTTTTTTATATTTAAAACTAAAGAATCTCAATTGAATGTGTAGAGGAAAAAAGCAAAGAAAGAAATAATCTTCAAACACAGCTCTACAAATTTTAAGTAAATTTTATTACTGTTGTGGCATACCTATGGATGATAATGGGTTATGTCCCCATTCACATAAATACAGTAGTAAATACTGTATGTTGGTCTGCAGTTGGAGATTCATTGTGGAATTCACGTGACTCACTTCTAGCAGTTGACTACTTCTTCTACATGCCACTGGCAAATCTTATGTGTGTTGTTCTTGTCCTAAGTATTATCCTTCATTACCAACATTTGTGTGATTATTCTGTTCAGTAACCTTCCCTAGGTTACAACAATTACTGAGTATTTGTTTTCTTCCAAGATGAAAGAAACGAATTACAAAGATCCTAGCAAAAACAAAATTCCACAAAAATATTTGGTTTTTCTTTTTTACAACATAACAGAAATAATTTTGTTAGTATGATAGAAAGGCATGAATGTGTCTATTTAATGAGAGTCAAGTATTTCTGTTGTCTTATGAATGCATGTGATTTTCCAACAGTCAGCAGTAAACAAGAGCTATGTTATAACTACTACTAATATTTTTGTTGGTATGTTTTTACGTGGTGCTTATTTTAAAATCACAAGTTTATTGCAGGAAGTTACTCAAGAAAATGTGAAAGATTAAGTAATTAATCATATGAAGGAGTGAGAGCAATCACAACTGCAACAAACCCTGGTCAAAGGTTTACAGAAAAACTGAAAACCCTACTTTGTGAATTTATGTGATCATATTTATAACCACGTAGGCTTCAGGAAGCTAAAAATTAGATTTACTAAACTCAGGGGTTTAGTGGTTAATAAATATTTCTCCCAATTTTGAAATATCTATTTTTAGAAGGGAAAATATTGTTAATCATTTTCTGGTGTGATCTCTCAAATTTTGTAGCATACAACAAACATCGTTGTCTGAAATTTCAAAGCCTTAAGAGTATTTGACATAACATTGCTGATTGGTTAATAAATGCAAATATGGAAATTTGAATTGGAGCCTACTTTTTGCACAAAAATGTGCCAATTTCTGTGTAATACTATCTTGGTGCAGAATTGACTTTTTTAGTGATATTACTTAAATCTATCAAATTTTTAACAGGGTTCCATATAATTTCATTCGTATGTTTTTACATTGTTCTTTATTTAAAAATTGTGAGGCTATTGCAAGAATTTACTTGATAAAATATGTGAAAGGTTGAGAAATTATATGAAAGGTTTGAATAATCATTTGTGCACAACTTTGGTCAAAGGCATACTGAAAAATTGAAAACTTTGAATTTAAGCAATCTTCTTTATAAAAGGGTATAGGTGCCAGGAAATTAAAAGTTAAATTTACTAAACTCGGAAGTTTATTGGTTAATAAATATTTTTTCCAATTTTTAAATATCTATTTTTAAGAGGGAAAATATTGTTAATCTTTTTCTGGAGTGATTTCAGAAATTAAATTGCGGACAACACACATGTGCTTGTCTGAAATTTGAAAGCTTTTGAGAGCGTTTGAGATAACATTATTGATTTGTTAACAAATGCAAATGTGGAAATTTGAATTGGTACCTACTTTTTGCACAAAAATGAGTCATTTTCTGTGTGAGATTATTTTGGTACAGAATTGGCATTTTTAGTGATATTACTTAAATCTATTGAATTTTTTTTACAATTTTTAACAGGGTTCTACAAATGTTAGAAATACCGATGGACATTTTGGGGATTAGTGAATGTATCTAGTTAAATCAGAAGGAATTTTTTAGGTGGCATGTTCGTTAACATTCATCCACAACAAATAAATGAATATTTAGAACAGGTCATGCAAAACAGAGTAAAAAACAAAAGCAGGTAGAATGCACAACAATATGGTAATTTATACAATTTAAATATATACAAATGAGTTAGGAATTGGTGATTTGTTGAGTAATGACGTAATTAGATACGTAATTAGATAATGTAATTAGATACGTAATTAGATATGTAGTTTGTTGTTGAGTATGTTTGAATGCTTAAATCAGTGCCTTGGAGATTTGTTGCAAGAATTAAACAGTTTGTTGTTTCAACATTCAAAAGTGTTCAATTTTACAGTTCAAATGTTAGTGTGTGTATGTAAGCACTGTGTAAAACATTTTTAAGTTTTATGAAGTTGCGTACCTTGAATGTTAATTGTTAAGTTTGCTTGTTACTATTTCTATTACGTAGCGAATATATATCACATTCTTCAAGTAAAGTACATGAATTCCGAGAAGTTTGTTTAAAAGAGAGAGATTGAGTATGCCAAAGAGTTGCTGAGTCAGAGGTTAATTTGTACAGGAAAGTCAAAGTTTAAACTGGCGTGGAATTGGTTGGCATCTCTCTGAGTGTGGAAATCTGACTGGTGAAGTGGTTCAAATTTCTTTCTTTTATAGGTTCTGGAAAGGAAAAATAGGCTCAAACACATTTGAGTGCCAAAGGGATTTTTCACGTGCATACTTAGTTTTTTAAGGTTGTTGGCCAATGAGAAGTTGAGTTTGTCAGAATTAGTGTTTTGATTGGATAACAGGTGTGTGGGTGTAAGAATGGATTGTTCTGCAAAGAGGGGTGAAAGATAACGTGGATTATTCCACAGACATATCAACATTTTCTGTTTGAATTTCTGGCATGAGGAGTTATCATTATTTACATTATTTACACTCAAACTATTATCCTCATCTTTGTTATTATCACAATGTTCAAGCTTTCTAGGATGAGGAGTTATCATTATTTACATGTAAACTATTTTGTTGTTATCACAATATTTTGGCTGTTGTGTCCTCCAAAACAATATCCTAGTTGATTAAAGACTTTGTTTGTGAATTTGGTGACATATTAATTGTGAGTTCAATCCCTGGGATGGGCAGTGTGTACTTGGACTCAATGGTAATGGGTGATCAATAACTGAGCAGTACTAAAAATAAGAACTGTTCAAGATATCCCTAGACATGGGCAGTTGAACCAGAGCAGTCTATCCCCATAGATTAAATAAAGGGTTCAGTTCAAAATTCCCTGTAGGTTACCCAGACAAGGGCCAGAGGGCACTATGGATAAAACATTGTGATAGCAACAACAAAGATGAGGGCAATAGTCTAAATATAAATAGTGTAGATATCAACATTTGTTGCATAATTTAATGTCAAAATCAGTATTTTTTTCTTTATATTTGAGTATAAGCATTTAGATGGATTAGGAATATGTGCGAGAAAACGGGGGGAAAAAAAACAACAACTTCTTGCGACCCAAAAACGAATGCCTACTTGCGACACGAAAACGAACGCCTTCTTGCGAACCTGAAATGAACGCCTTCTTGTGAACGAACACTTTACGACAGCAAACGTGCAAAACAGCACCCAAGACTGCTGCCGACGGACGACCAACCACAATGGCTTTTGTCGCCCAAGAAAAGACGCCAAATGACTCGCGCGTCTTCTTCTTGTAGTCCTTGGTCGAGTCCATTATGGTACTCCAAGGTGTGCCTGGTGACAAGACACACACACACACAGTTTGAGAACGTTTCCGCGCATGCTCGTGACACTCCTCCCTGATCTCTAGATCACACAAATGGCAATGTGGGGCAGGCCGTTTCTGCCTGGTGCTCCATCTCAGTGGTATGGTCTCAAGCGCTTCCTCAGTGGTGCTCTCTTCAGACGTCTTGTTGAGCTCATCCCGCATAGGTTCATCAGGTGTGTTACTCTCTGAGGTGTGCTCTTCCTGTGATTTTATATATACCATCGGGGCTTCATCATTATCATCATCAGAAGAACTAACGTGGTTGCTGACGCAATAATCCTTCCCGCACGCTGGACGGACATCTTTTATGTGGCGTGGTATTCCATCAACAGAGACGGAGTGTGGGCTATTAATTTGTGTCACCATACCCTTGTTGAACTGTGTGGTACACCTTCTGTGCAGATTTTTCACCCAGACAGTCTCTCCTACCATATAAGGATTGGCAACTGTGTTGTCACGCACCAAAGCTGTGTCAATACCCTTAATGTGGACCCTGTAAGTGTAGGTTGTATTCGCCGGTGCAGTTGAAGCTGTTTTATTGTCCTTTGGGGTAACATTGTGCCAATATACAGCTTCCAAAACTGAACACCGTGTTCTCGTCACAATGCGCTTTATTGTACGATGGGATCTCTCAACTATCCCATTCCCTGATGGTAAGTGGGCACAGCGAAATCGTATTTGTACATTCCACATCTTTGCAAACACGGCAAACCTCTCTCCATAAAACGCTGCGCCGTTATCCGTAAGAAGCTCAACTGGTGGCCCTCTTTCACAAAACACTACTTCCAACTCCTTGATGATGCTAGCAGAGTCTTGGCGGTGCAAGGGCTTCCAAATGGCAAAACGACTGGGGCCGCAGTCTATCAGTGTCAGGTATAGTTGATGTCCGAAATGGGTTACATCCATCGCAACCCTGTGCCAATTTTCCGCAACATCAAGCCTGCCCGGTTTCCAACACACAGGGGCCAGGTTGATTGACTGGCATTCCTTGCATCCCCTAACCGCCGCTCGCACCTCAGCTTTTGTTACTCTTGGGTCGATCAACTTCATAAAATAGAGTGTTCTCTTCACACCAGGATGTCCGCTGGATTGATGAATGGCTCGTACTTGAGCAACATCTCGCTCTTCAGCCACAGCGCACATATGTTCTCTGGGTTCTGTTATTTTGCGCATTTAATTTAACCATTGCTGCGGTACTCTAGTAAGTTGGTCGGCTTGATTGTTGCACGACTTGACAAGCTCTACATCAATGTCCAGCTCGTATTCTAAGGCCAACTCTTGGAGTATGGCTAGCCGACGTCTGATTAGCATCTTGGAGGCTGCCTTGGTGCACACTCTCGTCCATCTGGACAGTGTGTCAGCTACCCAGCGATGCACATATGCTGAGTCTGTCCGTAAATGAATGGTTTTGGCCTTCCATTGTAATGCAAGGTTGACACCTCGCAACACAGCATCGAGCTCAGCCAAGTTGATGTGCTTGTCTTCGTGCACTGGTCGGAGCCAGCTTGCATCTTCTGCCACGGCGCCATTGCTCTCCACAACCACACCGGTGGCTAAGGAGCTTGCATCTACCTACACGGTTACATTTTGCTCACTGATGCACCAGTCACCTTTCACTAGATCGTCCTGGGCTAGTCTCTTAAAGATGTTGTCGATTATCTGGGCTAGAATAAGGTCCTGTACTTCATTGTTCCATCCAGTGGTAACAGTGTTTGCCCTCCGCTTCACAAATGCTGTGGCGACACGTAACCAACTGCATACAGGAAAATGACCAGTCAACTTCCCGCACAGCGAGAAGACAATTTGGCGGGTAAGTTTATCGGGGACTACCGGAAGTTCACATTCATGACACCATCACAGTTTTCCTTGCTCCTCCAAGACATGCAATCCCAGTACGCGTGTGCCAATTATTAGCCGCTCCGGGGTCTTACTTGACAGACCAAACTGCTCCAAATGTTCCTTGACGCGGACCACAGAACACACACTCTCATTAACAAAAACATTGTCAATATAAGAGGAGGAGGCTGCGTTGACGATCTGGTCCTGGCTCAAGACGGTATTAACAATGGCCCGCATGATTAAAGGGGCAACATTGAGCCCAAATCCTAAGCGGGTTAGACAATACCTTTGTCCCTTAATCTCCACTGTTTGGAATGGCCAAAGGGACTTGCCGATGTGTACCTGCAGATAGGCCTTGTGTAGGTCCAGCACTGCAGAATTTGGTCCTTGCTGACGCCATTCCCATAATTTTTTCGAACAAACATCTGCATTGGCTGCGTACGCGTCAACGTACTCATTGAGTTCCCGATAGTCCATAATGGGCCGAATTTTCTGTTTGTTTTCCTGCAGAATGGCCATGAGGGGGATTAAACCCTTTGGGGGTTCGAGTTCCTCCTCCGGGTAAGGAAGCAGTCAGCCGTTATCTATTCAAAACTGGAGTTCCCAATCATACTCCTCCTGAATTTGTGCGGGAGCTGGATATTCTGCCAGTCTATTTCTTAACGTACCCAGAGGTTGATTGCCAGCCCATTTCCAAGATGCGGTCCACCTCCGAGTGGTCTCATCGAATTCTACTTTAAAGTCGGGCTTGGTAATGGTGATGGCAGCAACGACTGGTTTGACACACTGCGGAAACTTCACCTCTCCGGTGCCAGTTACAGATATTCCTCCCAACTGTTTGATGGCGTCTAGTCCGAGCAGGAAGTCAAATCCAAGCAGGTCTCCATCTACGACTAGGGCTTCCATAGCGATGGACGGCTTTGCACCAACGCTAATTTGTACCACTCCGATTCCACAGCAGTCAAGTGCGCCTCCGTCTACTGTAAGCATGCGTGTTGATTTTCTTGTCCATGCATGACAGCATAACTTGCGAACTAGTGACTGTGTGCATCCTGTATCCACCAGAGCTGTACGTGGTATTCCATTGATACGAACTGTCGCTACAGGCAATGCGCCATTTACAAGGGTTTTGGGGAGGAGATTGGCACTGAATTCTTACCCCCTTGCCCGTTTCCCGAACAACACCGAGCAATGTGCCCTTGCCGATGACATCAATAGCAAGTGATGGTCCGTCGGTGCTTGGTACCAGCACCTTTAGATGGTTCACGACCCAGGAGACAATCGCTCGCCCTATGATTGGGTCCATCACATTTATAGCACCTCGTATGCACATCTGTTTCCTTCAACTGTGCAGCCACTGCGGCCTGCTCCGTAGGACCAGTGCACTTCTTCAAAATAGCGCAAACTCGTGCCAGCACATGTGACAAATCCAGGTCTTCCGTCTGGGATGACGCTCTTAAAAGCTCCTCTGCATGCTCAGGCAATCCAGCAACGAATGTACACTGCAAACACTTTTCTGATATGCCACCAAACAGAACCGCGAGTCTGCGCAGTTCAGCCAAAAAGATGTTGACCGTCTCCCCTGGCTGAAGGCGATGTGCTGCAAACTGCTTCCACGTGGAGAATGGGTCTAAGGCGAAAGCTGTGTATAACGCTTTCTTAACGCAATTGAAGTCTGCGCGCTTCTCCTCACTCAATTGCTGGTACACAGCATATGTGCCACCTGTCAAACGCATCGGGATAACACACTCAATTCGCTTCACACTGCCCAACTGACATATTAGTTCCGCCTTCTCCAACCATTCCACTACTGACTGTCCAGAATCGCTTCCGTCAAACAGTAGTATCAGCTTCGGGTCGAAGGCCATAATACTGAAATAACTTGTGCGATGAAATGGGGGGAAAAAAACAACTTCTTGCGACACAAAAATGAATGCCTACTTGCGGCACAAAAACGAACGCCTTCTTGCGAACCTGAAACGAATGCCTTCTTGTGAACGAACACTTTACGACAGCAAATGAGCAAAACGGCACCCAAGACTGCTGTCGACGGATGACCAACCACAACGGCTGTTGTCGCCCAAGAAAAGACGCCAAACAACTCGCGCGTCTTCTTCTTGTAGTCCTTGGTCGAGTCCATTATGGTACTCCAAAGTGTGCCCGGTGACAACACACACACACACGCAGTTCAAGGACGTTTCCGCACATGCTCGTTACAGAATAGGTAAATATTGGTTATTTATACTTGAGTCTATTGGTAAATATTTCCTGTTTATACTTGTGCCTATAGAAAATATTGGTCGCTTATACTTGCACCTTTTAGGTAAATATTGACCACTTGAGCTTATAGGTAAATGCTGATAGCTTATACTTGAGCCTATATGCAATTTACCATTCTTATAAATATCTTTCATCATAAATACCTTTCCATCTGTTTATCCACTTGACAAAGAAATGAACTTCTGATATAAAGCATTACATCAACATTGGTGGGAGCAGTAATGCTAAACTGTTTTGTCATTCTTACAATCTTGCATTCAATTAATTCTAATAGAGCCAGACCCTAATCTGAGAAAATATATTCTAGTAGAGCTGGACCCTAGACTGAGAAAATTGATTCTAGTAGAGCCAGATTCTAGACTGAGAAAATTGATTCTAGTAGAGCCAGATTCTAGACTGAGAAAATTGATTCTAGTAGAGCTGGACATTAGTCTGAGAAAATTGATTCTAGTAGAGCTGGACATTAGTCTGAGAAAATTGATCCTAGTAGAGTCGGACCATAATCTGAGAAAATTGATTCTTGTACAGTCAGAACCTAATCTGAAAATAGCAATTGATTCTTGTAAAATTGTATGTTACAGATAGAAAAATATTTGTAGTAGAACTTATACTCACTCATACTAAATGAATTATACGCCCAAGGGAGGCTGAAGAATGAATTGGCTGATATGATGTGATAAAACCAGAAAAAAAAATCTATAGATAAGGATATTACATGAAATTTTTTGTTTAGTTGGATTTGCATCTGGTTTACAAAATCTCCATATTTGTTATTTTTTTCTAAACAATTGTCTTTTGGTTATTTTGAATGTTTCTATGTTGAATTTTATAATATAGCAACTCATTTCTTTTTTCAGATTCAATACATTGACTTACAAGATCGTTTCTTTGGAGACCTTCTCACCTGTGAAGTCCTGCTGAAGGTTATTGAATTCCTGCATCCAAATTTTGGCTTTGGCTGGGTTTTAAAGGTAAATCTGCTGATCCCATCTGCTTAAATATGTGAGTGTGTGTGTGTGTGTGTGGTGGTGGTGGTGGGGTGAGGTAAGCAAAATTATGTCTGGTTTGATAATAAAAGTAATTTTTTTTTTTTTTTTCAATATTTACAGCTTTGTTCCATTATCTTCTATTTTGGGCATTTCATAATTAAATACTCTCGGAATTTACGTTCATTAGTCAAGAACTGTTTTGGGAGCATTTTGCAGTCTTTCAGGGATTTTTTAAGAAAATTGCGAAAAGACTGAAATAAATGGTAATTTTAATAAATAACTCAATTACAATATATATTTCCTTTTTTGTAGACAAAGCAGTTTCTCTATTTGATTCTTTTTACTTTTATTTGTAAAATATTTGGTAATAATAAGATGGAGTAAAAGTAGTCATATCCATATATTAAATGCAGTGTGCATCTCTCTCTCTCTCCATATATATATATATATATATATATATATATATATAGTGTATATTTAGGCAGCAATTTTTCATTGATGCATGTTTCATTAAATAATATAGACAAGTTTTGTCTATTTATTTTAAGTAAGTTCCTTTCATATTGTGTGATAAGCTTAATAACATTATCACTGAAGGACGAAAGGAAATCACCATATTGATACATCTTTAAATCCAATCTACAACAAAAACAGACTATCATTAGTGTTCCGTGTATTGGTTGATATATTGAAAAGTAATTGTCATCTTTGATAATGGCTTATATAAGCTGAAAGCTTAGATTGGATTTAAACATGTATCAATATGGTGATTTTCTTTCGTCCTTCAATGATAATGTTATTAAGCTTATCAGACAATATGAAAGGAACTTACTTAAAATAAATAGACAAAACTTGTCTATATTATCTAATGAAACATGAATATATATATATATATATATATATATATATATATATATATATATATATATAAAAGGCAATTGAATGACTGATGAATTATATTTACTTACGTGCAAATATCATTGGGAAAGGTATGAATCTACCTCTTTTACCCCCCAGATATAGATTAAATAGTAGGACTTGTATCAGTGAAGCATTATCTCCCACAAGTTCTTACAATCCCCAAATATTTTCTGGCTTTATATAACTTGTGAAAGAGATAAAAAAACAAATCAATTAATCAAATTAGTTTTCTTCACTGAATATCAGGTAGCATTGTGCATAAAATTCATCTTTCTAAAAGTATTTGATGTCTTGAACAACAGCTCTTTGTGTACATTTAAAAAATATTTGGTATCTTGAACCATAGCTTGGATTCTGCATGGGCCTGCCACTCCCCCACCCATAATCCTGCCTCAAAATATCACACCGCCACCACCACTTTGTTGAGATCTCAACTTGTGAGGGTGGTTTTCAACAGTAACCATCAAGCCATTGCTCAATTTAGCCAACCCATTCAGAGGAGTATAACATTCATTGTTGAAAAGAATGCTTGAAAAAATCAGTTAACATGTATTTCGTGGAGCATTTCATTTGCTTTTCCTTATCACTATCTTTTAAATAAGGCCTTGTGAATGCTACTTTATTTAGAATGTGATATCCTGTTAGTTTTAACACTTACTACTACAACACATGAAAATTTCATAGCTTGACAATACCTCCTCTCAGAAATATAGATAGATGTCATTTTGATGTTTTCAAATAGATTTTGTAAGGCTGAATTATCAAAGATAATCAAAGAGAATTGATCAATAACTTCAGAGCTTGAAAAAGGTAAAAATAATTCTGGAAATTGCAAAAATGATTGGCAGGTACCACCAAACTGTGTTTGTTGAAGATCCTGGACAATTTTGATGCAGGTCTGATCTATGTTCCATATCAACAAGAAATCTTTGTCTAGCTATGAAATTTTAATGTGTTCTAGCAGTAAGTATTGAAACTTACAAGATTTCAGGTTCTAAATAAAGTGGCATTCATGAAAGATAGTCAAAATGAAAACCAAAGGAAACATCCATAACATGGCAATAAAGTTGAGGACAAGTGTACGAACAATGTAAATAATAAAAATGACAATGTTGCCAATAATTTGAAAACTGAAATTCAAGGTCTTTCATATAAAATGACTGCCATTTACTTGTATTGACACAGGATTAACTGGATTTCATTCTAACTCCACAGATTGATGTCACAATTTAATTAAAAACATTCTTGGTATTCCAATAAGTATTTATTTTCTGTATTGACAAAACATGACGCTGCAAATAATGTGAGTCATGGTACAGTTTGATTGCAAATGTTTACTAATTTTTCCTTTGTTTCATTTTGCTTTAAATTTTTTTTTTATTTTTAATAAATATTTGATTTATTTATTTTTTTTTTTTTTGCAGGACATGAAAGCCACTCTGGCCAAAGAACTTGATTTTATCAATGAAGGCCTAAATGGAGAGAAATGTGCAGCTGACCTTTGCCATTTGAATTATGTTCATGTACCTGAAATTCACTGGGACAAGACAAGTAAGGTGAGAATTGAGGAAACAGGAAGGGTTAAGTAGAATTAATGAAATTCTCAATAGAAGTAATAATAATAAGAAGAATGGGGCAAAATAAGACCAGAAAATGTAATGTAATGCAAAGCAACTATAAGACAGTAAAAAGTTCACAATATAGAAATAGTGTCCACATGTGAAAGGGATACAGTCAAGTTATTATAGTTTTCTAACTTTGAGGCAAGAAAAAACAATGTGTTGAGAAGACTGTAAATTGTCCATTTTTATTGGCTAGGAAGAAATCCCAGCATGCATCTGTAGGATTTGTCGATAAATTTGGGTGGGTGGATTTGTAGCCTGATATTGAAACCAAGATGAGAAGCAAAAAGTATCAAAAATTAATAATAATAATAATGACAATGCTTCATCTAAGTAATTTAAACAACTTTAGACTATTATATCGACTACATATTATAATAGCCTGAGTGTTACAGTAGAAAGCAACTAAAATATGATAAGAAGCAAAAAGTATCAAAAATTAATAATAATAATGACAATGCTTCATTCAAGCAGAAATAACACACTATTATGACAAAGTTTTAAAAAAAATCCTACAAATGACAACCTTTTTTTTTTTTTTTTTTTTTTAAATCTTTATCATAACAGTATGCTATTTCTGCTTGAATTTCAGTCATTGTGCATTTTTCATGCTGATATATCCCCACAAGTGGACAGGCTGCTGGGGAATAGGTATTTTTTTCTTTAATCTGCTCATTAGTTATGGACTTGTTGTTACATAGCACAACTATCAGCAACTTCTGAACAGTTTTGTCTACTCTGTTTTATGTACAAGGCTTGGGTCAACACGTGTTCTGTTTTACAGGTACTTACTATGTTACATTGTCTCCCTAGGATGATATTATCAAGATTACCTCCTTCACTAATTGGCCATTGTGAAATTTGAACATTTGGCCACATACTTGCTGATCTTTGTCAAAGATCTTTTTCCTTTCTTTGCACAGTTCCATATTGAAGACAGATCTGTGGAATTGGCTCCAATGGATGTAAATGACACTTGCTAATCTTGTTACTATTCTGTTTATTCATTGTTGAGTGTTTTTTATCAAGTTGTTTTGGCCAATGTAGTTTTGAGCCTTCCTCATGTTGACATCTAGTACTTTTCAATGAATTTTGAAAGGAACTTTTTGATTTAAAAAAAAATATCTATGAAAAAGAAGACAAAATATTTATTAAACAAGAAGAATAACAGAAATATTGGGAATAGCATAGAAATATGGTTGTATCATTGATTTCTTGGCAATGTAGGTTCTTTGAAATAGGACAGGAATTGTCTTGAATTAACTGGATCACTTTTGTCACACAGGTCCACCATTATATAGCGAGATGAAAGCAAGCAATCTTTTAGCATTTAATTGCCTGAATAAAAATACACTTACATTATTAGTTGGCAAAGGTCAACTGCAGTTTTAAATTGTCCAAATTTCTTAGATGTAACATTGTGATTATTAATTTTGATTGTATATTATGTATTATAATCTGACTGTAATTTTTCACTCGTTTTTCTTTTCATCTTATTTTAGTTGCTTTCTATCGTAACACTCAGCTTGTTATAATACGTAGTAGACGTAATAGTCTTAAGTTATCTGAATTTCTTAGATGAAGCATTGTCATTATTATTCATTTTTGACTCGTTTTTCTTTTCATCTTATTTCATTGGCTTTCTATCGTAACACTCAGCTTCTTATAATACGTAGTAGACATAATAGTCTTAAGTTGTCTGAATTTCTTAGATGAAGCATTGTCATTATTATTAATTTTTGACTCATTTTTCTTTTCATCTTATTTTAGTTGCTTTCTATCGTAACACTCAGCTTGTTATAATACGTAGTAGACGTAATAGTCTCAAGTTGTCTGAATTTCTTAGATGAAGCATTGTCATTATTATTAATTTATTTTAGTTGCTTTCTATTGCAATGCTTTGGACATCCTTTTTAACTAGTTGTCATTTTTATTTTCGTTTTTTTTTTTTTTGATTAATTTTTTTCTGTTTTTCAGAGAGTCCTGACAGCGGAATTTATTGATGGCTGTAAAATTACTGATAAAAGAGCAATACATAAAATGGGACTCTCACTTTATGACGTTAGTAGACTTTATTACTTTCCCTTCAAAGTAATGTTTGCATAAAAATCCAGATTCACACACACACACACACACACACTGTTATTTTCAATTTTACATTCTCACTTTCTACTGTGCAGCTGCTATATCCCACAGGAATCCCTTTTGCCAGCTGTGCCCACATGATAGTTTTGATTACAATAGATGCCTATTTATGATTGCTTGAAATAATGGTAAACCTGTCCTCAAAGATGCCCTGTCTTGTTTGCTAACAGAATGAGGCACTGTTTAGTCACTAACAAGTTTGGTTCTTGTGATAGTGAGCAGGAGCTGCTCTGTCTTCACTCTCCAGCCTCAGTAGAGTCCAAAATATTCTACGCGGCCTTGTGGGTGATGAATTGTTTTCCACCCTACAGCTCTTTTCCAACAGACTAAATGTTGCAAGCCTCTTCCTGCTTTATTTGCTATTTCCATGGAAAGTGTTCAGACTAGCTACATTCTTTAGTTTTACCAGTTCTAACCTTCATAGCTAAGACCTGCCATTGTAGTGAATCACCCACATTTCCTTCATGTTACATTGGTAAATTCCACATGAGCAGCTTCTTTCCATAAACTGCTGCTTTGCAGAACTAGCTCCCAAGAGGTTGCTTCCTCAATCACTACACTTTTATCCTGTTCATGCCTAGGGTTAACCATTATCTTTCCCACATATCTTTATAAACTGTACCACTTACTCTCTTTATACCTTGAGTGTCTCTTGGGCCTTGTATAGAGTGAAAATTATTGTAAAACAAAAAAAAACAGCTTAGAAGGCAGGCATTATTTCTTGTGACAGTCTAACAGAGGCTGCACTTTAATACCAAAGGGAGGCTACTCTTTAGTGAAGGCTCTTCTTATCCATTGAACTATTTTCTATGGAAATAATTAATGTTTTATTCTTATTTTCTTAAACTGTTGTTTGTAATTTGATTTGTAAGCTGAAAGAAAATATTATGAAATTTCTTGATTGTTTTTAAGCATCTTGATTTTCCTTTATTTTTTTTTTTTTTAAAAATACTACAGCATGTGGCAGAAATACCTCACACATATACCTCCCACATATACTGCCCACCAAAATACCTCCCACATATACCCTGGAGAACTACCTCTTACATATATTGCCCGCCAAAATACCCCCACACATATACTGGAGAAATACCTCTCACATATACTCCCCGCTGAAATACTTCCCTCATATACCCTGGAGAAATACCTCCCTCATATACCCCGGGAGAAATACCTCCCTCATATACCCCGGGAGAAATGCCTCCCTCATATACCCCGGGAGAAATGCTTCCCTCATATACCCCGGGAGAAATGCCTCCCTCATATACCCCGGGAGAAATGCCTCCCTCATATACCCCGGGAGAAATGCCTCCCTCATATAGTCCGGGAGAAATGCCTCCCACATATACCCCGGAGAAATACCTCCCACATATACCCCGGAGAAATACCTCCCACATATACCCCGGGAGAAATACCTCCCACATAACAGTAAGACATTCGTGGCAATGGTGTTTTCATCTAGCTCAGTTTTTCTCAACCAGGGTCCATATAACATTTTTGGGGGGGTCCACACAAAAAATAGCAAATTGGTGGTCCACAGTAATATTTTAGTGATCAATAGAGTAATTTCACTTCAGAAGAGTTGTTACAACTGAGATTTGGTATTTCTACAGTAATCTAAATTAAAATACTAAAAACTATTAAAACCAGCAGAAAACAAAATCAAGTGATATATCCCTTTTAGTCTATTGGATGTTTTGAGTGTAAAAGTTGAATAAAAACTGAGAAGGATTAAAGGAAATTTGGTTGGAGCCTCAGGTGGAGTAATTGTGGAATCAGAGGAGCTGAGTTCAAATTCCAGTCGAATCCATTACATTCACTTACGGGCTAATACCCTTGGGAAAGGTATGAATCATCTTCTTCACTCCCCAGATATGGGTA